CTGTAGTGACTAGAGCAAGAATAAACCCCATAGGCCCTAGACTTTGTGTTTTTACTCTAAACATTAGGATAAAGAACCGTAATAGGGGGGAGAGAAGTTTAAGGGGATGGACTGAAAAATGAATGAGTCGTTTGAGAGCCTCTTACTCCTGCTGTGCATGTAGCCTAGCCCAGCCTGCAGCGCCAGATCATTTCCTGTTCTCGGAGTGCCTCACTGGTCACAGTCTAGTACTGCTAGGTGGGTCTTATTGGCTGATCCAATAGCTGGAAAGAACACTCCTTGTGTTATAATCTGCTCATGTCATCTGAAGGCTGGACGTTTCTGTGTCTACTTGAGCTGAAGTGTGACCCACTCAGCTTCACCCTGGCGGTAATGCCAGCTGCTCTTCCCGCTCTGCAACCGCCTCCTATCCTGTCCGCCCAGTGGTGGCGCTGATGCCCCTAGTCCTGCAGAGAGGGCTGCTGGGAATGCAGAAAGCCCCTTGCCGTGAGACAGAAACGTTTGGGCTGGTTTTGTTTCCTTAGGCGCGCTACTCTGGCCTGGAAGGAGAGCAGGAGTGCAGAGGAGGTTTGTCCTAAGCATGTCTCTTCCCCCTCCCCCCCCCCTTCTCTACCAGGGATCCCCACATGCCGCTGTCCCACCGGCTTCACGGGCCCCAGCTGCAACCAGCACACCTGCAAGGACTACTGCCAGAACAACGGCAACTGCACCGTCAACCAGGGCAACCAGCCCACCTGCCGCTGCCCCAGCGACTTCCTGGGGGACAAGTGCCAGTACCGTGAGTGTCGGGGTCCGGCTGAGGGCCCAGGGGGGCCAGCAGAGTAGCCAGTGGTCGGCCTGGGTTGTTTTCGCTTGTCCTGTGACTTGCTGGGCGCCTGCAGGCAACCCAGCGCTCGTGATAGACTCAGTGCCTCTTGAATAGGCTCTGCTCTTCTCCTGTAGCGCTTGGTATGTTAGCTCTGACAGGGCACGTCTGCAGGGTGTTTAAGGCAAGCCTTAGACAGCTGCTCCAGACTGAGTGGGTATGCTAAGAAATAGGAACTGGGGGATTCATTCAGTTGCGTTAAGTATCTGGGTTTGCCACTGATACAGGTGTACAGGGGCACACTTGAGCTGAATCTAGAGTGCCGTGTTTCCGGTGTCCCGGTGATGCCCACACAGCAGGGCTGATGTCCTCTGTTTGCACCTCCTCCGCAGGAAAGTGTGAAGGGTATTGTCTCCACGGCGGCACGTGCCAGCAGACGGCCAACGGCACCAAGCTGTGCCGCTGCGTGCCCCAGTACGACGGCTGGATGTGCGAGATAGACAAGTGCCACTACTGCAAGGAAGGGAAATGCATTCCTACCAACCCCAACAAGCCCACCGGAGAGGTCACCTGCAAGTGAGTCCCGCTGCCACCCGCGGTGTCCCGTCCACAACATACAGTATGTAGCTAGAATGCCACTCCTATATGGAAGCAGAATGTTTGTCTGTGATGTGCAGGCCAGGTGACAGCACCTAGAGCCCACTTCGTGCAGGCTGTAGGCGAGCTTCCTGCTGCTATTTGTACTGAAGACAAAATGCAGTCAAAGGCGGCGCACAGGCTCTCCGCCAGTGCGAGTGTGGCACGACACGACGCGTGTTTACTGTACATCGCTCACCTAACAGCAGCCTTGGGCATCCCGGTCGCCCAGGCTGGAGGGGTGCAGGCAGACGATGGTTAATCTGCACAGGCTCTGAGTGGACTGGTGCAGAGCCAGATGTTATGTATTTGTAACGTCTTAAGTAAGACCATACACAACGGTCTTTCAATTAGATTCTGTGGTACAAATATCAGACATTCTGTTGCAGATACTGTACTTATTAGGAGGCCATGACTGGTAAAAAGGCTTTTCGAGAAACACCCTGAGATTTTTAATAAGCACTGTGAGTCAGGACCTCAGTTTTACATTTCCTCATCTGGAGGACGGCGCCTTTTTAGAATAGTGTCTCCATCACTATACTGGGGCATTAGGACCCACACAGACCACAGGGTGAGCGCCCCCTACTGGCCCCTCTAATACCTTTCAGCAGCAACCTTAGTTACATGGCTGCTGGCCAAAAAAAGAGGGAGGCACTGGCCCATCTGGGGTTTAGCACTGATTCCCACAGTGCCCCTTTCTCAGGAGCGCTCAGCACACACAGCCCTGGAGGGCAGACTGCTCTGTGCTGTGGCGCGGCCCACTCTTGAGATGGCGCATTAACTGGACCAGTTCCTTGCAGGCTCTCGCTGGAGGGAGGCTCAAGTGTAATATAATGCGACCCGTCTGCTTTCAGCTGCAGCAGTGGAGTCATCGCGCCCAGCTGTTACACGTGTGCGGACTACTGCGTGCACGGGGAGTGCACGACCAACTCGCGCACGCGCCTGCAGGAGTGCAAGTAAGGAGCGCCCCCTACAGCCCCGGGAGACGAGGGGAATCCGCTGGTCTCGGCCTCAAGACAGCCGGCTGACCATCCCAGTTTCTATGAAACCCTGTGCGCAGGAAGTAACGATGTTGGAGCGTACACACATGGGCAGCAGTGTGCGGCCGCTCGTGTAGAAGACGCCAACACCTCTTCGCACAGAGAGCCGTGGGTGTCTGGAGCCTGCTCCCAGGCCGCGTGATGGAAGCAGGCTTCGCGGGATCCTTTACGAATGGGATAGATGGAATTCATAAATTTGTAAGCTGCAGGCAACCAAAGGAGAAAGATGGATCAGCAGATGACCTCTCATTTGTAGCATTTCATACTTTTTTGTGACACATTCAGAAACACAACTGGGCATTATGTAATACCGGGGGCTGCAGAAAGAAAAAGAGAAAGTTGAAGGCATGCTTGTCTTCAGTGCTTTCACTCTCTTGAGTGACATCTAAACCCCAGCAGCAGGAACCTGGATATACTGACATAAATGTAGGTTGTAAAGACCTACTGTGCAGGTATAGATAGAGCCATTCAGGGCGTTGTTGCCTGTGGTGGAGGCAGTGTCGGTGAGTGACCTCTGTTGTTCTCTGGGTACTTCGGTGCCTCTCATCACTACTAATCCTCTGCTCACGTCTCCTTGCAGGTGTCAGGCAGGGTACGGTGGCCAACGCTGTGAAGATAAAGTCACGACCTTGGATTCGACAGAGAACAGTGGGCGTACGTTCTCTCTCGTTCTCTTCTTGACCTGATTTATCCCGTGCCATCATGTTCTGTAGTCCATCACAGGAGCCCTTTATTATCCTCCGATAACGTTACTTAGCGTCTGTTTTTTTTCTTGGGGAAATGAACTTGTAAACAGCTAAATCTGATACTCATCTGACACTGGTTGAACTGTAAGGAATCAGAACAGCGCGTGCATTCCCAATAAGCAATGGATTGTGGGAGTCTGGAAGAAGTTACCCAGCCATATGGCTGGATCAGATCCTTGGATCAGTTATCTACTTTACTACCTAACGCGCTAGGTGGGCTAACAGGCTAACAGTCCATCCACTCATTTGAAACCTTTCTTATGTTCTTGGATTAGAGCACACCAAGCTGCTTCACTAGATCACTAACCATTCAGTGTCTTTGGGGGGGAAGTGACGAAGTGGTGAACACTAGTGCCTCTCTGCTTCAGCGTCCTGGGTCCAGTTTTGGTCAAGGGCTCCTGTCAGTGTGGAATTGGCCAGCTCTCCCCATATTTACGTGACTTTTTTGCCAGAGGCTCTGATACCCTCTTACCTCCCAAAGACGTGCAGTTTAGGGTTGATTGTTTACTCTGAACTGTCAGTTTTCATTGGAATTTCATACTTGGCACGATAGAGGGGGTTGCAGCCAGTTCAGTTCAGTTCAGTTCAGTTCAGTTCAGTTTCAGGGGGAAATCTGTTGTGTTTATGGTAGAACCCAACACAACAATACAACAAGGAAGATGAACGTTTCCAACAGAGAAGACAGTGCCGTTTGTTACAGGAGATAAGCGAGTTAGTTGACATTGTCGGAGAGACTTATTGCAGCAGGGATGAAAGATTCTGAGTCTATTACATTTACACAGAGGCATCTCCCAGATGGGTGTAGTGTAAATTCACAGTGGAGGAGGTGAGACACACATTCTGTAGTGGTACTGACCTTTTTTTACAACCTTTCTTTTAGAGGATATTTAAGAAGATTTAATATGCCCCGATTATTTTGCTACTTATTTTCACAAATTTTCCCAACCTATTAAAATTAACAGTTCTGATGTTGTGAAATCAACAACTGAGACAGTATGTCAAGACACATTCAATATGTGACTTATAGAAAAGTGTTAAACTAGTCTGTCTTGAAGATAAAGAGATTCTCTGTTTGCGTTTCTTTATAAAATGCTGTTACATTTGTCCCATCTTTGGTTTTTGTCTTTGACCAGTCCCAGGTACCTGTAGTTATTGACTATGGTTGCTGTCTGACTGTTAATTACAGTAGGTTGGAGGGGTGTTTGCATTTTTCCTAAAATCAATGACCAGTGTCTTTGTTTTCAAGGTGACGAAACTGGTCATTCAAAGAGAACTCGTCACACCATGTAGTAAAATCATTTGTAAATGGCCCGTGATGATTTTCCAGGTCTTTTCAGAAGCTGACCAGGGCTGTGTCATCAGCAAACGTAATGAGAGAAATGTCAGTGATGAGCCAGTACTAACAACAGAGAGGAAGAGAGTGCGATGAGCTTGCTGGGCCTCCTCTCCTTTGACAGCCTTCTGATGTTCTGCTCTGTGCCTGCAGGAACAGCCTCCATCGTGATCCCTATCCTCCTGCTGCTGTTGGCGGCACTGCTGATCGTCGGCACAGTTGTGTGGTACAGGAGGAGGATGCGAGGGTGAGTGAGATGCATTTTGGCTGGGCGTGGGATGCCTGATCAGAAGATAGCAGTTAGGAATGTAACAGGCAGAGAAACAATCCTGAGGCTGGGCGTTAGGGAAATCGGTGTACAGCAGGGATCAGTGCTGGGACCACTGTTGTTCCTTTCTTGTATAATAGAGTATATTGATCAGGGAATTAGTAGCAGATGAATTGTGCACACAAAGGCCTTTGTTCATCTCTGTCAAGTACTAGCAAAACCTAATATGTTTCTTGATGGACACATCCTTATGTACTCGACTCGTACAGCCTGCCTTGCTTGTTTTCAGAGAATGGGTGAATGGGCCCGTGACAAGAACTGTGATTAATGCCGTCTCTCCTGTCCCTCAGGTCTATAAGGCCAGGGAAATCGCGCTCCAGATGCTTGTGGTAAAATACTTAGGGTTTCCTCCTCAGTCTGCTCTCATCCCTGACCCCGCCCTGCACCCCTCCCCTGAGCCAGCTGAGCACAGCTGTAGCTGAGTGGCACAACCAGAAACAGCTGTCTGAATGAAACTGTCTGAAAGGAAACCAGTACAATGCTCCTGGAGTGCATTCCTGTTCCCCACTCCAGTAACACAACTCCCGCTTACAGAAGCTCAGCGACGTTGTATTTAAAACTCCACAGTAAAATACATAGTAGCAGCTCTCATGGGGCAAAAGCAAACGAGATTTTAAGAAAAACAATTGATGTGATACTTTTAAATTCAGAGTAAAAGTGTTTATGCTGAAACTGAGATGGAACAGTTTCATAAATCACAAAGCCAAATTGTCTCTAGGCGTGGCCATTTTGAAAATATGACCTTGTTCTAACACATGGGATGTATCCAGCAGGATATACAACCTCATATGCTCCATGAGAGGTGGGTTGGCAGGCGAATGCCTTCACAGATCAGGACCTTGTACTGATTATTCAGCAGCTTCAAGTCCTTGGCCTCGAGCGTTTGCCGAACATGACTCCTGGATTCCTGACATTTTTTGTTTTCATGCTTCCCTTCCCGAGTGATCCTGGGAATGAGATCCTGCCCAGCATCTGGGTGTTTCCTCTGTTCCAGTCCCCGATTTTGTGTCTTGTGTTTCAAATACCCGGTTCAGCTCTGAAGCCTGCCAGCTGTCAGTACTGTGGCTTCTCAGTTTTGTTGTGAGATTTTTCTTTGCTGCAATCTGTTACAATCCAGCCTGCAGATTGTATTTTTCCCATTGTCCAAGTCCACCATTTTTCTTTAAATGGGCATTTGGAATAAGTCCTGCAATCACTAAGATACTGAGCAAGCTGCATTTGACAGTTTTTCACATCAGTATTGCAAAGGTAGCACAGTCATTTTTGTGTTTTGTGTAGCACCATAACATAGTATTTTAGTCCCTTTTGTGATAATTATAGCTCTTTATAGAATTATAATTATAGCTCAATTGTAGAAGAAATACATTTACGTTATAGATGGATCAAAGTGTATTTGAAAAATGCATTCAAAGAAATGTGAGGGTGATTAAAATGTCATTTAACTCTTAAAAGGCTTTTAACTGATCAGTATGAACTTTACTCAGTTACTTTAACATGCTAATATCAGAGTTCTAAAAAGCCTAGTGAAGAACTTCAAAACACCAGGTCCCTGAATGGGTGCATCCATTTAAAAATTGCAACTTGGCCACTGTTGGATTTTTTCCAATGCCTGTGTGAGGTGCTGCTGTTCCAGTTGAGTGAGCTGTGTGTCCTGTGTGCTGTCCACAGTGCAGTGGTGTGGAGTGTCTGTGTGTCCTGTGCCCTGTCCTGTGTGTAGCAGTGTGGAGTGTCTGTGTGTCCTGAGTGCAGCAGTGTTGAGTGTCTGTGTGTCCTGTGCGCTGTCCTGTGTGTAGCAGTGTGGGGTGTCTGTGTGTCCTGT